AAAGGCGGAGCCCATTACTGGAGAGGTGTTGAGGCAGAGGGACTTCTAGCAGCAAGCATCTATGGTGTGGTTATAACTAGTCCGGTTTGTAAGTTTTGAATATTGAGGTGGTTTTGTCGGAGTCCATTATTACTCCAGCGCTGAAGCGTGGTGGCTACGCTGGTCCTGACTTCAGTAATATCACAACCTTGGCAACGGAACAGTGTGATGAAGCGAGGAGTCCTCTCATTTCCAGGATATGCTGTAGCTATTATTATCAGCAAATCGTCACAACCCTGTTCACCCCGGAGCAGGCACCCATCTCCCCAAACAAGCGGGTCTGATGGCCCTGAATATTGACCCATGAGAGCCGCTCTGGAGGAATTGAGTTACTATATAAGTTTGGAAGGGAGATAAAAAAAGAACTGATCGTCACGTCGGTCCGGGCAACAGAGTGAATGGAATCAAGTACTCAGTAAATGAGGGCTCCAGGCGTAAAGACTTTCGCAGGCGCTCAGTACCGTTATTCTCTGCTGGGTTTCCAATATGGGCAAGCGCATTGTTGTCTCATAGTTTGATCCCCGGTTCATGGTCACGTTCGAAGTAACGTAGCAGAGGTCGATCATCTACGAATAACTTGAAAAAACAGTGGTCGCCTGCAGCTTTGTCTAGTGCTACTTCCCAGAGTCAAGACCCCAGGAGTCAGAGAGGAGTGACCATATAGAGCAAAGGAAGAATCTCAATGAAAGCGTGCAGCCAATAACACTGTGTTCATGTTCTCAAACACTGCTCGGGGGTGATATATACACCCCTCCGATTCGGAATCGTAGACCAATCTTAATATATGGCAGGGCGAAACGACCCAAGGAAGGGGAGTTTCAGAAGGGCAGGAGTCTTACGCTCAAGAGAAAAACAAACAAGTCGAAGCGATCATGGTACTAGACACCATAGGCCTGGAGAATGTGAAAGTACTCCAATGCCATGATAAATGTAGAGTTTTGGACCCTCAATTATCCCTCACGGGAGAGTTAACGTTCAGCGGGCTGTGGTCGAACCAGAGACCTAGGTATACTTAATGCTAGTTGACAACAAGGCTGCAAGCCCAGCAACATACTTCGATTTTGGGAAATAGTCTCCCCTTGGAAATTCTCGTGTCGTAATGTTTCCTACCAAAACTTGAAGGAAATAGGGAGAAAGATCCGCTCAGAAGCACGAGCAATTAATGAAAACTCCTCCCTTCCTTCTGGTGTGCGCTGCACTGTATATATTTATCTTCAGACTGAAACTGGAATGCGGACGGTCCTTTGCATAAGCCGGAAAGGGAGGATTCTATCTATCATCGCGTTCAATACTTGTACCATATGGCATATTGGAGACGAACTCATGTCGAAGGGGATCATATCAGGAGGGAACTCTCCGGCTGCTCCTTATCCATTGGACCACGACATCAACGGAATGTGAAGGGCCAGGTCCTGTGTTAAAAGCTGTTAAAGCGGTAAAAGGGGAGATCTAGATCATGAGGATGTTGATGCTATTCCAAATAGGAAACAGACAAGACGAGATCATAAACTCGGAGAACCAACTTGGTACCGAAGAGAAAAGATATCAAGTTTACGAGTGAGAACCGCCCTGACCTGCAACTGATCTACCGGTATGTTCCTAGTATAGCGGCCTTCGTAGCGTGATCTGCTGGGAAACCCAGAGCACCCGGGGGCTTACTAAAGAGAATCAATATGTAACAAGGGATATTCTGTGGAAGCCGCAAGGTATGACGGGCCTTGATCAACATTCCCAGCTGCTCAAAAGTTGATTCAGTTTGAATCGTATGACTCATCAGCTTGGAGACTTTACGAGCGCCTCTCTCGTGCGAATTCAGTAAAGTATAGAGACAACAAAGTGCGACGCAGCGGACTCGAAAGGAAGAATCGAATCAATTATTATTTAGGATTCTGTGTAGGAAGAGAAGAGACGAGGTGATGCTAGAACGCGGAGTGCGCGACGCTCGGGTAAGTCTGGGATCCGTGAAGGGCCGAGCGATGGAAGCGCGACATGCAAATTACTTAATTTACACATTCCAATGCTTTTCCAGCGCCACCAGAGGGTGATCGTCACTGGCAATAATGTTACATCGTAATCATACTGATGGCTGCCATCGATGGCCGAAGGGTCACTCCATTAGGATGGACATACCCAAACTGAGGTCACTTGGATGTTGCGTCGCATGCCAGATCAGGACTCCGTCACGGTGCAAGGTACTACTGACCAGGTTTCACGTTAGCTACGAGTCTACTGTTCTTCATAAAATTAAACTAGATACACACAGGTTTCACGGGCGCCAACCTATGCTCTGATTCCTTATTGCTTCTGCTTATGTAGATGCTGTAACTTGTCGCACCCTTTTAACTTCATCGCATGAATGAACTGCTTTAGCATTACCTAGTTCGTACTCTGTCCAGTACAGAATTATGCACAAGGAGCGATTCTTTCTTTCGACCACACTCCAGGATACTCGATATCTTTCCATGTTGTCGCATGAATAATACCAGACGCGCCATCTTGAGAGTAGAAACAAGTTCGACGCCCGACCCGAGAAGCACTACACAGCTCAAAACCACGCATCCAACACCCATCTGCATCAGCCTCAGCATTACGCAACCATTCTACAGCAAGTGTTAATGCTGGTGCGATCGTATTTAGTTCTTGGTGGGAACGACCCTCGACCCTAAAAGGCCCGGTCCTGGTGGAGGGCTTTGGCAAGCTCAGGAAGCTCGAAAAGCCTTCCCCGGCTAGACCGCATTCACAGTTTACCGTTCCTTTTAAATGGGATATTACAAGAGCTGTCTGCATCCAAGATTGTAAGATAGACTGGAGCAGAAATGTTTCCTTGCCTGGATTCTATAAGGCGGTCCTCTATGACATGTTACCAGTATATGATGTAAATGTAACATCGCCGTCTCTTATTATCTGTCTCCTATTATAGTGGCGGCAGCTCGCGGTTCGATTCCCTATTCTTTTTGTGTCCCAAAAATACGCGTCGTGCATTACAGAGACTTTAATGGTTCGTGTATCACACCAGGCTTGCTGCACTTCGTTACAGCTAACCTAGCAAATTAAAGACGAGGCTGTGAAGCCCGGCCTGGAGAGCAACAGGGAGGTGACGTATACAACAGCCGAGAGAAGCTAAACCCAACCTGTCGCTGACGGCACTGGGGCCAAAGCCAAATCAGGTCACAACATGTTTCGGTATCTGCCAAACACCGCGTCGGAGGGGGTGGAAATGAGGCATGGAAAAGTTAGTTTCGATACCGGGACTTTGCCGTGTTGTCGAAGCATACCTCAATGCTGGAGGCGATAGGAGAATAAGTATACCGAATTAAGGCGGAGCGAAAAATGCAGGGGATGCCGACACAGGCTAGTGATATCCGACCAGCAGGTAAGTGGCTGTAGAGACATTCATTAGGACTCTCATCCGGAACGAGGAGCCCTTACATTACGTACGGAGTGCAATTGACTCCTGGAGAACAACCGCCCATTGAAAGTGTGCGGTGGTAAAGACATGACGGTATGATACAAAGTTATGCAATAACTATGGAACTCAAGATGATATACTACAATGGAACGGGGACGAACCCTGCTCGTCAGTAACTGTCGCCTGTGGGCTATTTGGTGCGAATATCAGATACACGATCCCAGCACGGCCATCCATTCCCTTCCTCATAGTATTTAACGCGCCGTCTCTTCGGCTCCCGGTCCGAGTCTTCCACACGTCGATATGTATCCAACCCGTACCCAGGGTCGCGCCATTCAGTACACACCCTGGGCACATCACTAAAGCTTGCAGTATGCAACTTGAAACTCGGTTCCTTCGCGCCTTCGTCCTCGTCCTCGGATTCAGACGACGACGGGCACCAGACATAGGCGCCACGGTTGATTTTGGAACGGTGCGAAGATAGAGGGGAGATAGGCGATGGGGACAGCGAAGGAGTGTGCGAAGAGGTCGAAGACGGGGGTGCCCGTGGACGCTCTGGGATTGCCGTTGGAGATATCGGTATATTAGGCGGAGCGGCGCGATCCGGCAAGACGGCGGTATATTGATGGCGGGTGACGGGCTCGTGGGGCGGCATCGTGTGATGATAGGACGGTTGTACGGACATCGTCTGGGGCTGCTGAGGCAATGCCGATGACGATGATGAATGCGCCTCCTTCGGATAAACGCTTGCCGGCCCGCCCGTCATTGAATGGTTCCGGTAGTGCCTCTGCATGTTCGAGTTCACGTTGAACGACCTTCCGCACCCCGGAAATGGACAGTGAAACGCTACGGTACACGTAAGCGCCGAACAGATACGTGGGGCTGTGACTTACGAGTATCCCCTGTGTGGGTATTCTGGTGGATTCGGAGACTGCTTGGGCGGTTGAACCGCTTGTGACAGATCTTGCAGATGTGTCGGCGCATCTGGTCAGCCAGAGAGTCGTCAGTCGTGTATTCGTGGGTGAGCTGGGACTCGGAATTGGTGTGCAGGATGAAGACGGTCGCGCAGAGGTCCGATGATGATGATGACGGCGGAGGAGCAGGTGGTGGTCGTTGCTGTAGGAGGTAATCTGCTTACATCAGTATCACCCGACATGCGAGTACGACCAGGATTTACCAGGGAACATTTCGTGTATACTCGGCAGAGCAGTCATGTTGGGTTCGGTCGTGGTGGTGGTCAAAGAAGAAGGGACGAAAAATTATGTTGTAATGCGTGCCTGGATCAGCCGGCGACCAATTCTGGCTATGATCTGAGCGTGGATCGGCGTAATTTTTGCTGCGGATCCTTTCCCCTGTTTCTTTGTCATCTTCAGTGCGCGGCATCTCTGCCATTCGTTGAACATATTACAAGCCTAAAACAGAGGGTCGACTGAAAGAAAATACCTAAAGCCACGGATTGCTGACCTGTTAATAAAATTCGGGATCAAATCGTCGATTCGTCATCTCTTGGCACGCTTGATATTCATTCACCCTAGGCACGTCAGACATAATGTCGGATATGGTGTAACGGCTAACATTACCGCCTTTCATATGCCAGCCGGAAAAGATATTGCGCGGTAGCTCGGGGTTCGATTCCCCGTATCCGAATGTAGCAATCCATGCTATTTTTGGTCCTTTTTGAGGCGGACCCCAGGCCTACTGCTACAACTTCATTGATCCCTAGCAGACTGTGTGTTCGGTTAGCTCCTATTACTAGTTGGCACATAAGAGTTGACAATGATCGTCCTTTGTAGTATGTTTCTTCATAAAACAGCAACGGCACATGGTGATACCAACAATCAAAACGATCATTCGCCATCTTAGTCTTTGGCTACCCAGTGACCGTTAACTGTTGTAACTTGGGGTTCGATTCCCTCCATCCGGATGCCGACTGATAGATCATTTTTTATCAAACACCTGACGCAGGTTCATAGTTCAGCAATGTGTATTCTGGTGATGCCCCTTTAAGAAATTTCTGGTAATATAAATGATTCCTGGTACTATCACATACAAGAATATGCATCCAGCATACAGACCTCCATCCTCCGGTATAAAGACTTGGACAAATGGCAAGCCATTACAAGTATGGGTGCCCAGGTCAGCCGATCCTTCTATCATACCAAACCCGAATTCGCTTAAGTATATGAAAGCTGTGAGGAACAAAGAAGTCGGTGAAAGAAATGAGGAGCTTAAGCAGGTAGCATAGTAAAAGAATCCTCAAAAGGCCCAGCCGGTAATGAGCTGAAGGTTGAAAGAACCAAATACAGAGCAGGTGCAGGTCGCGTTGAGATCGAGCCTGAGTCCCTCATAGAGATGTGGAATGAGTGCCGAACATTATATGAACCGCAAATATCGTGAACATGAATGAGAGACGATTGAAGATGAAATACTGCGAATAGTCAAACCAGCAGCACTCTTGAGCTGTCAGATATAGTCTGACGGCTAAAAATACCACCTTTTTATCAATGGCCCGGTACCTCAGCAGGAATAAACACCTTATATTCAAAATAGCACTTCCGGTCGATAGCCTAAAAAAATCCTGGTTTCTTTTTTGTTCACTGCAAGTCGACACGATGGGAGAGTCAGAATTTGATTCCGTTCAGACTCTTGACTCGGACACTTGCGTCGGGTAGAATACTTTCCCTTTCCGCAGCACGTACTGGGTAAGCTACCACTGACTGATATCAGTAAGCGAAACTTGTACCGCCACAAAAGCGGAAAAAAGTCATTGCTTATAGGGATATTTACTCGTGGCAGTAAAACGATTCACCATGATTGCGACCTTTCCGAAGATAAACGAGGTATAACAAATAGTCTGCAGGCTGGCACAGAGGAGGAGCGAAAAAATATACCCTTGCTGGTGATGGATCATGATTTCGCTTGGAGAATAAATGGAAGGGTCTTGTATATTTCTGGTTGCTGTGAATATACTAGTAAGTGGTCCCCCGGAAATCATACCTTCTGCGGTGCCTACTCCTCGAAAATATCCATAGGAAAACATACCAGATACTAGCAAGCAAATATCTTGCGAGAGATGAAGAGCGCAAGCGCGAATATTATAGACTCAGGATGGGAAGCCAAGGAGCATTGCATGACTCGAAATTAGCCAGTGCTGAGTTGAATGTAAGGAAAGAGCAACAGATTTCCCTGCTCAAGGAGGTCAGCGCTGCATCCCCCTCAGCTATTTGGCGCGAGTGCGGAGGGATATGACACATGAAAATCGTAGTAGAGCTGAAATTGAACTGAAATTTAAAAATGCATCAGTAGGGTCACTAAGTAATCGGAAAGTTTCTCTTCGGTTCTTCCATGCATATGGCGTCGAGGAAACATCGGGAATCGACTTGCAGCTGGAGCGATTGGGTCATCTTAACCGGATTTTGGTTGATGAGATTCCCATCACTGAGTCGTATCCCGATAGACAAGTCAGCTACATTCTTGCACCTATCAAGGACAGGCAACAGACAAAGAGTACGCTGGATGCAGTGCCATGGGCTTTCTCGAGGAGCTTCAGGCGTTTCCCAGGGATCGCCGCCTGTGTGAAGTCTTCCTGAGCGACCAAAGATATAGCTGAGGACCCCATTCGTGTTCTTGCTCAGAATCTTGGTAGATACGTTGTTCAACGGCTCTTGGTCGTACATAGTGAAACTGGTGATCGTTCCGGCCGACGCCTCCACGCTATTAACGTGTGGGGGATAGTTAACCGCTGGGCTGATTGTCATCCAGAGTGAGTTATAGGAAAGGGCACCAGATCTCTATGAACTGATCACCTTTGTGAGGACGTATAGACTGTCGGAGAAGTTGAAAGACTGGACAGGAACGTCTCGGTCGGTTAGATAGTGATGGAAGAGGACCTCCAAGTCGAAATGAGACGGCAAGTTCATCGCTGGATCTCTGGAATATGTCAGTGTAGAAATACTACAGAGTATCGGAGGAGACATAGTACAAGCAACCAGTGCGCAAAAGGGATCATCACACATCAGGCCTTAAACACTTATCAGTGATGGAAGCTTGGTATGAGGAAGTCTTGGACCGCAAACAGGATTTTAATTAATATCGGCATCCTCCGATAAAGTTTGGACCCAAAACGTGGACTTCGTCCTTCATGTCCAAGTTCCCGGAAATCGGTTACACAGAAGGGATACCTTTTTCCAGCCAAGCGGACTGGGCCCAGTAAGAAACGGCTAGACATGCAAGTACGTGGTTTCTAGAGAGTGAACTATTACATCCTACAGTTGATCCCCTAATAATAGCGCCGAAGATGATCCATACCGGGAAGCTAGCAAGAGCCGCCAGTGTAAGTACTAAAGAAGGCCAATCCTTTAGACTATTCAATTGCGCTTAATTTTCAAGCCATTCAGTGGCTTCAAGCGCCAGTCCATCATCATTCAAGTACTGGTTTTGAATCAGATGGTGGCCGTTGCTGCCTTATTGTGGCGTGCCGTTGCTCGAACACAAGTAGCCTAGATAGACAAAATCCGACCAGGAGTTTGGATAATCATCAAGGTTTGAGCTGAGATGATCTCCATTGGGCCGATGTAAGAATAATCTACTGCCATCGTGTAGTGTACAAAACTTTGATGCTTTCTAATCCGAGTCGTCCACGTGCTAATTCAATCTAAGTACAGAACAAATGTCTCGATCTCGACCTTGACACAAGGTAACGCGTTAAGGGCTCTTAATCTCCCTTCACCTAAATCCCTCACCAACAAGCAGTCAACATTTACGCTCTCCAACATGCCCTCCGCCAACCTAGACTCGACAATGTCAATGACAGGAGTAGCGTTTCGATGGAAGGAGGGTAAACCCCTAAACAGGCGACTCTCATATGTACCGAGGGGAAGGGAAAATGCACGTAGCTTGGGTAATATCAAAGATGATGATTTCATTCTTTCATAAAACATCACGTCCAGGTCGCTATGGCACGATAGCGACTTGAGCGTTGGTATGCTAGAGAGAATGGCAAGTAATTCGTTGAAGGTATCATACCAAGGGAGGTCGAGAGCTGTGAGGGGACAATTAGAACGATGGAGGAAGTCGCCTAGTCGATGGAATAGTCAGTGGGGGGAAGGTGTTTTCATCACCGTCAAAGAGTACAGGTTTGGTGCAGTGATATAATCAAGGAAGTATGGTGTGCGTAGTTTGAGACGACGCAGATGCGCAATCTGAATATAACTTCCATCGAAGTAAGTACTATCATCAGCGGCAGTATAATGAAATCTCATCTCCAAATCAATGAGAATCGGGCAGTAATTTGTAATAGGGACAAGCATGGAACCGGTTTCAAGGGTAGCGTGCAGTTTCGCGTAATAGATACATGAGAAAATACAGTGACGGTAATTGTGAGTCCCTTTATAACCTATATCCCACGCACATCGAGGAACTGAAAATATCCAGAAAGTAAACGAAAATATGAACGAGACAATATTAATCATAAAGCCGATTATACCTTTAAGTCTGATACCAGAGTCGCATATCTTTGTATTTTCCAGCAACGACTGGCGTCTGGTGAGATATCTTGTCAAAATAACGGACAAGATCAGCGAATGTCGTGTCTTTCTTGTAATGTCCGGACTGGAGGACGCGCACGAGCGAGTCCGTGAAGATTCCAATATACCCCGCCGTGCCATCTTCCCTGATCACTTTTTTCGCCTTTGCATACTGATAGTCTCTACATGCCGCCAGAACGACGTAGGAATCCATGTCTGGGTGCCAATCATTCGCCAAAATGGGGCGATAACCGGTGTGACCCATCAGATTTTTATCGCCGGCAGCTAGCATGTCTTGAAGGGTGGCATGTGCCATGGAGGAGGAAGTACGCGTTCCCACCTTGGGTATATTCAGACAGACACCACCAGAATGACAACAGTCAAGAATGACGGTAATATGATGACCCTTTACTCGAGCGATTAGGGATAGGATCGTGTTAAGTTCCAAGTCGCTGATGTCATGCACGGGCTTGCCGTTTTTACCAGGAGCGTCGCGATCGATAGGGCAGAGTGTTTCGATATATTCTGGCTCGTCATCCTCCTGCGTATTGTACGAGTAATATGAGCCATGTCCAGAATAATAGACAATGATGTTGTCGCCGTGCGCAATCTTGGAGTTGGTAATGAGACTGAGAAGAGCGTTGACGATGTGGACACGGGAGGGGTATATAGGATCCTCAGGAGATAGGTGCTCCTTGGATCCGAGAAGAAGTTGGATACGATCTCCGGGTACGCCGAGGTCCTCAGTCAAGTACTTCTCGATCAACTTTACGTCTGGTACAGAGCCCTGCAGAGGATATGAAGCATATTCATCGATACCAATGAGGACGGCACAGAATCTAGAAGCATCGACACGGTGTGGGTCCTAAAATGGGACTGATTAGCGTTATGGGGAACGACGACTGGTGATGACTGACACCTGAAGGGGATGGGCAGACTTCCAAATTGACGGGAAGATTCATCTGAGCATGACTATATTGAAAGCGGAGGTGACGGAGCTTGAGGAGTTTTACGACGATGGGTAAATAGTCTGCATCGCGCAACGATTTGTTCCTGGCCTTGGAGAGAACGACAATCGGGTCGACATCCTCCCTAGGAATACCCTCTTGCTCTGCGACATCC